CCGCTTTGCCTGAACGAGGAGATGGTGTTTATTATGTCCTTCCACCTTTTTCATTTCACCCTTTGCAAGGGATATAATCATTTTATGTTCACTCATCACAACACACTACGTCCCTCCTGCATCTCCATTTTCCACTAATGAATACTATGTTCCTGATGCTACCCTTTTCATGACACCTCCTCTATATGAGCCAATATTCTTCACACTGAATGCACTCGATGTAGGCGCTTATCAAAGTGGACATGGTGGGCAAACAACATCATTACTACCTGGGGAGAAGCGTGGAATTGATCTTAATGTTGAATTCATTGGAGCCTCAGATGTAGTAGGACCTAATGTGAGACGTAACCCTTACTGCGGAGCTCAAGATTTTTGTCGACAGTGCATTCTCACACCTCATGAGGAGGGACCTCATGAACAGTCCTTAGATTTTGATTGAGAATATGTTATCATATTATATTAGAAAACATCGTCATTTTGACTATTTTAGTGATTAGTTTTTTTTTGTTAGTTGTTATAACTTTAGATGATGTTAATGAATGGTTTATTTAGTTTACATGCACAAATGATTTATACTTTTGCACATTCCTCACATTGTCCGTAGCTTAAATAAGTGACATAACATCAATGTAAACTAAAAGGACAACGTACCTTTAATTAATCTAGCATATGTTTACAATGATAAATAAAACGTAAAGATCGTCTACCAACTGGTGACAATATTACTCATCAGTATTATTAGCGTTGCTTTGTTGAGGACAATGACGTTGATTGTAACCTGGTTGTCGAAATAACCTACATTGTTGTCGCGGTTGTGACTCAACTTAATCTATTTCATTTCTAATTATAGAAGCCTTTGATCGTCCTTTACCTCGTGTTTCACTCATCATTTTGTAAAGTGTTATTTTCATTACAACATATTGCAAAGTATAAACAGGTCAACATATTGCCAAAAGTCTATACTTAGAGTAGCACAAGCAACTATGACATGTGAACATGGGTATTGATATGTCTGAAATTTGCCACATTCACAAATTTGTGTACATAATATCACACTTCACTTATGACCACCCCTTTGTGTCATTGGATTAAAAGTCTCTTCAACCTCAAATCTTGTTCTTTGTATGTCATAACGACAAACATGATGTGAAGATGCTTCTTCTTGATTTTTTTTCTATAGTTTAAATTAATTTACGATAATACATTTTACCATTGTTCATGTCATTGATTGCGCTCTCACCACACTTCACAAAATACTTGACCAATTTAACATACGTTGCTTTAACAAGGGCAGTAATTGGGAGATTTCTTGCCTCTTTTGAAACCTTATTGATTGACTTTAACAAATTAGTCGTCATATGGCTATAACACCGTCCTTCATCATCATAAGCTAAACTCCACTTTTCCTTTGATATGTTGTCAATTCAAATTTGAATTTCAGGGGAATACGAATGAAATATATTAAGTTTCACTTCAAATCTTTGCTTGTAGGGTGTATATGCTATATTTAAATAAGTCATAAGGTTAATGGTGAACAATAAGTATATATTGATAATTAATCTAAATACACAAATGTTGTAAAAAAACTTACCTAACTTGATAAGCACACTCTTCAAAGTGATATGTTCGAATCTTCTATTGAAATTGCTTGCAATGTGATGAATGCAATACACATGGTAAGCATTGAGAGGTTGCCACCCAATGTGTGAGTTAGACACAACACCTTTAATACTTTGATGATCAGATATCAAACTAATTTTAGTCTTCTTAGTAACATTCATACGAATCATTGCTAAGAATCATTCCTATGCTGATAATGTTTCTTCTTCAATAATGGCAAACGCTATAGAAAGTACACTATTATTGCCATCTTAAGTTGTAGCAATTAACAATGTTTGTTTGTACTTACCATACAAAAAGGTATCGTCTACCTGTATTATAAGCTTACAAAACTTCAAGGCTTCATGACATTGCCTAAATGACCAAAACAATCGATGAAAGACTCTGGATCTATTATCTACTACATTACCTCTAACATAATCATTGGACTCAATTTTGTAAACTAACTCCGGAGCATGTAATTGCATGTATTCTAACCATCTTGTCAATGTTGCATATGATTCATCTCAATCACCAAATATTGTCACAATTGTTTTTTGTTTTATTTTCCATGCTTTTTTGTATGAAATTACATATCCAAATTGTCCAATTATTTTCTCTTAGATTAATGAAATGGGAACTAATGGTTCTTCTTTGACCATACCTGTCAATAAAATTAAATAATGTGTCTAAGCTAATGATCAATTTAGCATCATTTTAAAAAATAAACAAAATAACCTCAATTGAGATTCACGTATCAAAAATGCATTAACAAATAAAATTTGAATATAACTTTTTGTAGTTTTGAGAAATCATAGTATTTACGCAGGTATACGTACCACCTCATTTTGTAATTTTCCACTTAGTTGAATTTTTGGGTAACAATGCTCTTACTTTTCAAAGACACCCGAAATTATGATTCACACACTTGACAACATGAGTTGATGCTTTTGACTCAACCACAAAAAATGTTTGATGTTTTCTCATTGCATAGTATTTTATCGTTATTTTAACCTCCTCTTTAGAGTCAAAGTGTTGTCCAACGTAGAATGCATCTCCTTGTATCCATAATTGTGATGAATGCAACTCATAAAAATCTAATTCTTAATCAAGATGTTCTCAATTAATAGCAGTGTAGTGTGAACTTATATTCCAAAAAGGTATTAAAAAATCTATAGTAAACTCAACTAATGTTGGTTAAGAAAATTGATAATTTATGTATTATGTAAAATTATACCTGTTGATTGTCCTTGCATATCGCTATTTCTTTCAATGTTTGGAATATTGATTATTGAATCAAAATCATCATCCAAATCAGTATCAAAAGAATTGTCTAAAGGAATTTATTCTTCATCTTCATAGTCATCGTCGTAGTCATCTTCTTTATCTGTAAGTGCAGCAGCACATATTTATTAATAAATTAGTAAATTTTAAATATTATATTATTTAAATAAATATTATACATTACTTTTTTTTTTCCGTTGCATACTCTTTTTCATTGTCACTAACATTAACAGCTGAGAGTGATAAATTTAAACCTAACAATTGTTCAACAACATGAGAAGTTTCATCAACTGTAATATCCACATATAAGTCAACTACATTTTTTTGATGTTATTGTTAACATGCACTTATCATACAGTCAATGTTTTCATCATCACATACATTTAAAATTGTATGGTTTCCACTCCTTGTATCAACTAAAATTCGTGAAATTAGTCTAGAAATTATAATACTATTGCACAATCTCAATTTTGTATGTATCTTTTTTTTTTCAGCATCACAAAAGTAATTTCACGTTCTATTTTAATCATCTTCTTATTTCCTTCAAACATTATAACCTCATTTCCTTCATATACTCTTCTATTCCAATATAAAATAACCACAATTTCAGTCATTTTGCATATCAAATTAAAAAATGCAAAAAAAATATTACGAAAATAAATTAGCTACTTAAACAAATACTAATAGAAAATATTACAAGAATATTAAATTAAAAGAGATTTATATTTACATTAAATAAATTAACATAGTACCACAAATATTTTTATCATAATAATATTAATATTATTATTTCAAACTTAATTGCAAAAATTAAATAAATTAATAAAATTATAACCTTCAACTTCTCCTACTCGTCAGCTTTTTCTAAATTTTTTGCAACCAATACACACCCATCGATCTATATATATATACATTTTAAATTGGGTAAAAACTTGTGGATAAAAGAGTGTAATTTGGTTTAACTGCAAGATAAATCCGTGAGTTACTGTATGGTGCACAAGATAAGTGTCAGTGTTAAAGTAACCAACACATTGTAAGTGTCAAAATTCAACCTACCGACACACAGGTGTTGCAAAAAATCCAACCGACACATAAGTGTCAGCTGTAAGCCCGACACATTTATCACGTGGCAAAAATCTAAATCAATGTTAGTAATTTCTTTGCTGACACCTTTTTTTTATATTAAATTAATTTAGTGTCATTATATCATAAGCCGATACTGTATTGTGTCGGCTAAAAATTTTATGATACTTTTTTATTTCACCCCAAATATGACATTTGTTTCACATTCACACTATTTGGATAAATTGTTTCTCCATTCACCACATATAGGCAAAAAATCCACATCTTTACACAAAGTCTTACTTTTTGAATGAAGAGAAAAATAAGTGCATTTCTTTAAAAGTATCAAATATATTTTTTTATTTAATTATGTATTTTATGAAGTTGCTAAGAGAAGAATATTGTAAAACAATTTTTTTATTGAGGACAATATTGCATAAGATAAGATTCTATATATAACAAGATTTTATTAAAAATTACAAAATTTAATATAACTTAATAAATCAGTATAACTATTAAATATTAGAATTTTTTTCAAAAATTACTATTTATTAATTTCTTATCATATGTAATATTGAACAGACTATTATAAAATATCGGATCATGAACTTTATATTTTCGACTTCAAGCATAAATAGTCTCTGGGTCCTGTTTGATGATGTTCATAATTGATTTTAAGATGATACAATTTTAATTTTCTTATCACTGAATGCACTACTCATCCAAATGTAGTTTCAGTTTGGAGTAAATTCTGAGACAGTGAAGCTTACCATTTCATAATGGAAACGGGGTTTGTGCAGTGGCAAGTACTATTGTACCACTCGAATTTGATGTTTCACTTAAAACGAAGTGTGTAACAAACCTTTAATCCTTGAATGTATATGGAGTTTTTGGTATGCAAATGTGACTCGTCTATCTCAGCCAAATTACGTCATTGAGTGGGGGATATGGTCGTGACATCAAGTTACGTCATTGATTGTACTTTTCATGGTTTCATTTATTTTGTTACAAATACAAACAATATTTTTGAACTGTGACGAGGAAATCTATATATACTAAGAAAGTTTACAAGGAAGAAGGGGTGGGCCACACAGACCAGGATTACCCACAAAAGCTGATATCGGAAACGTGGCCTTATGTGGAGGGATTCTCCCACTGAGTCGATTCCACGACACATCGAACTCTTGAAGGCTCTTCAAATTTAGGACCTTTTCTGGTATGTTACCTCTTAACTTGTTCCTTGAAAGGTGAATCTTTGTTAATGTTTCAACATCACCAAGCTCGGCAGGTATATTACCTGAGAGCTCACTGTCCTCAAGGTCAAGAATCTCTAATTCCCTCAGTTTCCCAATTGAATTTGGTATATATCCTCCCAATGCATTATGCGACAATGCAAGGTATTTGATTGAACTCATCGAGGCCTTTTCTCCAATGTTGGCATCAATGGGACCAGAAAACATGTTGTTAGACAGGTCAACGGAATTATAATGGCCTAGTGAAAACTGTACCTCTTTTTCAAGTATCACACTGAGGGAGCCAGTAAGCTTATTGGAATGAAGATCAAGGTCCATTAAAGCAGAAAGGTTCTTGAATGCCACTGGGATCGACGAATGAAACCCATTATTTGACAGGTTTAGGAAGGAAAGATGAGTCATGTTTCCAATCCACCATGGTAGTTTTCCCGTGAATGCATTGCTTGACAAATCAAGGGTTGCTATAGAGGACCATGATAGCCACTTTGGAAGTCGACCTTTAATCCCTGTCTTAGCCAATTTCAACTGAAAAACTCTCAATTTTGAAAACCATTTGGGTATTTTGGTTAGTCCTAGTGGGTTGAATGACAAGTCTAATGTCTGTAATGCCTTTAATTTAGCAAGCTGAGAAGGAAGTTCACCACAAAGTTGGTTTCTTGACAAATCTAATGTTTCCAAGTTGATCAAATTGCCAAAGGAAGGTGGAATTTTTCCTTCAAAACGGTTGTTTGCAAGAAACAGATCAGTCAAACTGGTTAAATTTCCAGTAGTAGAAGGCAACTTCCCAGTGAGCTTATTGTTCTCAAGAATTAGTCTTTGCACATTCTTGAGCCTTCCAATGGAATAAGGTAAAATGCCTGTTACCTTATTTTCTGATAACCTGAAGAATGTTAGGGAACTTAGGTCCCCAATAGAAAAAGGGAGGCTTCCCGTAATGTGGTTATGCATCAGATCTAAAAAAACCAATTGTGAAAGACTCCCAATTGATTCTGGAATGGTTCCACTAATTCCATTATAAGACAAATCCAAATCCTTGAGATTTATAAGATTACCAATACTAGAAGGAATATCGCTACGGAAATTGTTTCTATGAAGATCAAGCCTAGTGAGAAACACCATGCTTCCAATGGAATATGGGATTCCCCCTGAAAACTTATTCCCTGACAAACCAAGTTCTGAAAGATACCTGAAGGAGTAAAAGACAGAGGAAGGAACATTACCAGATAAGTGATTGTTGTCGAGGTACAAATTCTCAAGCTGGGAAAGCTTCTTGAAAGATGTTGGTATGCCACCAGTGAAATTGTTCGAATAGAGGAAAAGTTTTCTTAGGTGAGATAAATTGGCGAGTTCTGGAGGTATTGGACCGTGCAACTGTTTCAGATTGCCAAGGTCCAAAACTTGGAGTTTGGACAAGTTTCCTAGATAAGGTGATAATGTTCCAGACATGAATGTTTCAATGGGGAAGTCAGCGTCAATGTTGTCAACTAGGCCATTGCGAGTGAGGTTGATGACCCTCCCCATGGAACCACATTCGATGCCTTCCCAGTGGTGGCAGCAGTCCGAGGAAGATGTCCAAGAATGAAGCAGTTTTGAAGGGTCTGAGCTGATCCTGCTCTTGAATTCTAGTAATGCTTCTTTGTCCACCACGTGGCAGGCCTCCCAAAGAGGGAGAAGGAACATGATCAATAACATGATGATGGCTTCACGCAGTGTATGATTGGCCATTTGGAGCTGCTTGAGAATTGAAAATGGTTATAGTTGAGTTGAAACCCATCAACTAGTTGGTGTATATGTTAATGTCATTGTAGAGGAGAGCGTAAGGGTTATTGAATCATGCTCCATGCACCGTTTTGACAAGCCATGTGCCTCTAACGGCCACCTCAAGAGTTGGAAGGTAGTGGCTTGGACACTAGTTGATTGGTTTCAACAAAAGTTGAAAAAGAAGAAAGCATGACGGCATTAGGATTCTTGGAGCTCACAAGTTTTTTATAATATGGATTTAATAATTATATCTTCCATCATTTATAAGGAATATTGATGTTTCCAAGTCTGGTGGAAAATGACAAGGATAGCTAAGAGTGGAATGTGAATGCATTAACACAAACGTAATAAAAGATAGACGAGTAACAAGTAGAACACTAACAAAAATAAAGCAAAAAATAGAACTACAAAAACAACACAAAAAATAAATAATTGTTAATGTGAAAACCCCTTGTGATAAAAATAAATAAATACAAGTTGTCTAAAGCAAAGAAATAATTTACTATAATCAGTAAAGGATACAAGAAGGTCTTTGCAGAGTGCACAAACTATTCTTACAAGCAGTCAAAGCAAATAAAACATTAATACTCACATATAAGAAATGAGAAGGTGAAAAAACTAAAATTGCAGAGTATAAAATTGCAATAGGTATTTTTTCTTTTCTAAAAGTTTTCTTAACGATCCAACTAAATAAAATGTTCTAATGGTAAATCAATCTACAATTGCAATATAAAATATAACAATGAGTTGTCTTTTTATTTTCTCTCTCAATGTTTTTGTTATAACATGACTTTTCTTTCCATACCCTATTTGTCTTTTTTCCGTTACTTTTACTGAGAAATAATAGGTCAAAATATTTGATGTTTCTCAATTTGGAAAAGGAGTCCCAGAAAAATCCAATCGTCATTCTAATTATCTCCAACTAAAAGTTTGTTTTCAAGTTTAAGATAAAGAAAACTTTTATGCCAATTTACTTGTCCAAAATCTTTACCTAGTTGATTAGATAGATGATTGGATGATTTAATTAAGATATTTACTACACATTAGATCACATGTTAAAAGATTTAGATTATTCATACTGAAGTAACTCATTTAAATTATTTAAATAAGTTATTTATTTTACTTTAAACCTTATTTTAATCTATTGCTATTAAATAGTCTGTCTGTTTTTTTTTTTTTGAACCATGACTTTATCATGTTAGTAATTCTTTTATATTGCACGGCATTATTAAGTTAAATTAAATTTTAACATAAATAATAAAAATACAGTGTATGGTTATTTTTAAATTTAATAAATTTTATAATTTCAAATTGTAATGATTATAATTATTAATATTAATTAGTCTATTATATTAAATAAAATTAAATATAAAGTGTAAAAATTTAAATTTTAAATTAATTTTAAATCAAAAAATAAATACTTAAGATAAAAAAATCACATGGTATGATGATTAAAAAATTTCTCTATTTTAGCAAAAAAAAAAAAAAAATCTCTATTGAAAATTACTCTTAAAAATATTTTTATTTAATAACACCCATGAAAACCAGAAATGACAAAGTTACCTACACCCGTAAATATCTGCAGATAAAAATTCGTCACAAGAAAAATACCCGTAACTATGTACGGGTAGCACTCAAATATTCACAAAATTATATTTAACTTTTACTAATTGACATAATTATATAAAGTTGGGAGTAACTGAATGTTATAAGTAATCATCTATCCAATCAAATAAACAATACTATATCTCACGGCTATTGATCAATTGGACCATCATGGTTCTGAATTACATGACCATGTTAGACAGCATCCCTTTTAAATAGTAAATTAAAACATACTTTTTATTTCCCTTTATTTTTATTTTCTAAGCTATTAAAGTTTAAAAATATGTAATAATGTGAATTGAATAGAAGCTACTCAAGCTTGTGCAAATTACAAATATTCTATGCTATAAAATAAAATAATAAAACGCAAATGAAATAGGATAAATTTCAGTGATGGTAAACACATTCCAAGACCTCATTCTTTTGAAACTGCTCCACATATTTCCACGTATTTGCCTATGGATGCTCCTCTGACACTGGGAATTGTGGAGAAATTAATTATTATTTTATGATATTTCTATTCAATAGTTAATGCAACCCATTGCAATTTGATTTTTTTTAAAAAAAATCTCATCAACTTAAATTTTTTTTCTCACAGATGCTTAAAAAGTAGTTTTTAATCAAAGTATGTCTTAAAAGGTACTGTAAATTGTGACGGTGACTATTTACACAAATACTTGAACTTCTCATCATCAATTAAACTAAATGGGTACTCATCTATAATCACAAACATGGTTAATGTCTTTTTAAAAGTTTCAACATTAAACCTCTTACTTAGTGCCACTACAATACTCGCTCCACTTATAAAATTGATAATTGTTTGTGTAAGGTCATTACTAATAGCATATGTATATTTCAAACAAATTTTAAGGTAAGCAAGCATGTTTGAAGTACTATGTACCTTGATACCTCGATATCACAATGACACAATTTGTTACAATATTTACAAGTTGTCATTGATTTTTTATATTGACTTTTAGGGTATTTTTATAAAGTGATTCCAAGCTATTAATGCTTTTCAACGACCACTAGCATTAGATTTTCTCTTCTTTGTATTTTCTAGAGGTATATCATTTGGCTAACTTCTACTAAACACAAGTACATCATTTGGCTGACTTCCACCACCAAATGCTACTGATGTAGTAGAATTGATGGAATTAACAACCCCTTCAGTTTTTGTTTATTTTGGTGGTTGTTTAGTTAAAGTAGGAGAAAAATTTAGACTAAGTTGTTCCATTACTGTTTCAATGAAAAGGTCTTAGTCAAACATTACCTACCATATTATGAACTTAAATTTTTAAAAATTATTTCCTAAATTCTTAAACCATTATCTATACACATCCCTAAATTGTAATTTTTAAGGAATAAGTAGTAACAACTAGGCAGTAAGAATAGGTAAGGACTAACAAATAACGACTAAGGATAGGTAAGGACTAACAACAAACTACAGAACACTAAGGAGTAACTTAGAGAAGACAAGACTTCAACCTATCACATAATTTAATAAGGATAGGTAAAGATTAAGGAGAAATGAGTATTCAAATTTGAATGAGACAATATCCTAAAATTTTGAGGTCATTACTATACAAAATTAAACACCACATTTCAATTTAACGTCGTTGAAAAAAATTAGGGAGACAAAGAAGAGAGGTTGAGTAAAAAAGAGAGCAATGCATAAATCATAACATTTTCAGTTTCATACTAGAAAACATAATGCAACATCTCAGTTTACCATCATCGAAAAACAAGTTGAGAGAAGAAGATAAAAAATGTAGTAAATCAAGAAATATAACTAACATCTTAGGTTTTGAGCATCATTATTTTTTAAAATAAAATAGAAAAATAACTCTATTTACCATCATTAAAAAATTGAGAAAAGAATATTATAAATAAAGAGACAAAAAGGTGAAGTAGAGTAAAAAGGGAGTAAGCACAAATCATAACATTTTAGCTTCATTAAACTAGAAAACATAACATAATATCTCAGTTTACTATCAGGAAAAGAAAAAAAAAAGATTGAGAGAAGAAGATCATAAATGTAGTAAATCAAAGAATATAACCAAAATTCATTTTGAGCATCATTATTATTAAAAATAAAACACAAAAATATCTTTGTTTACCATCATTAAAAAAATTGAGAAAAGAAGATTATAAATATAGTATCTCAAGGGAAATAGACCTAATATCTCAACATTTTAGCATCATGAAAGTACAAAATAAAACACAAAACATCTTAATTTACCATCATGAAAAAAATAAAGAAAAAAAAAGATGAAAATTATAGTCAATTAAGGAACAATGTACCAATCATATAGTATTTCAACTTCATTAAATCAGAAAATATAACACAACACTTCAGTATACCGTTATTAAAAAAAATAGAGAGAAGATGATAAGTGCAGACAATAAAGGAACTACACATAAGTGATAATATTTCAGCTCCATTAAACTAGAAAATATAAGACAACATCTCAGTTTACTTTCATTGAAAAAATTAAGAGAATGTTATAAATGTAATAAATTAAGGAACAAAGTTAATATCTTTGCATCTTAGCATTGTTAAAATATAAAATAAAATATAAATCATCTCAGTGTGACTGAAAAAATGATCACAAATATCAAAATTCTATATTTCACAATTACATAATAAATTTGACTTTGTTGTATCATAAACAATAGAAACTAAACTGAACAACAATTAAGGCACACATCTCCTCTATTATGTGCTTTACTTGTTTAAAAATTTTCAATGTGTGAACTTTGGAAGCCTCATACTCAATCTTATAAAGAAATGTGGTCATCGCATGTCTTGGGAAAAAATTACTTCGAGTTGGCTATTAATTCATTGTTTCTATGTTTTCTCAAAGCTTAATTAAAGTTATGCATAAATTGAAGAATATTGTTCTTTTTCCCAAGATATGTCTTGATTAATGAAGTAATGGCTTCACATTATGAAGTAGTTCTTATATGTCCAAAGAATTTTTCACGAAAATATGTAGTAGCGCATAAGTGATTGTTCTCAAATATTTTAGGAACCTGTAATTTCTACTACTCCATATTTCATAACAATCTTCTTCCAATAGTCTTCAAATTCTTCTAGAGTAAAATTATGATAAATAGTTATCTTAAATTCTTGTAGAAAAGGAGATTTATTAACATTTTCACATGCATTATTATGCAAGTGTCATGAGCAAAGTCGATGTGATGCATCAAGAAACATACATTTGATTGCCTCTCTCATAGCACCATCACTATCTTTTACAATTCTTTTTTGTTATTTATTGCACATTACTTTAAAAAATATTATAAAATTCATTTATATGTTTCAATTGTTTCATAACAAACAAAAGCACAATCATATATAATCAGGTGTAAATGATGATTGTAGTAAAAAAAATCATCAAAATCTTTTTATACTTATATCAAACACAACAACATCACTTAAATACTAAAAATAAACGTTACTACCTCTATTGACCCAAAAAAAAATTTTCAATCTACCATCTTTAATGGATGTATATTTTGAATAAAATATGTAACATTGTTTACTTTGCACTATAGATGGTTTAAAAGTAGTACATACATTCTCATCATTAATTTTAGCATGTTTCTAGGTCAAAATAGTTGTTCTTTTTCAACAAACCCACTATATATTTCTCTCTCTCCCTCCATCCCCTTTGAAATAAGTACCCTGTTATGTGACAATTCCTAACAACATATGAATGCAATCTATCTACTTGAGCTTTATTTAAATCAACGGAGTTAAGTGCACAGATTTAGAAGGTATTAAATTATGGTTATTACATTCCACAAAAAATATCACTTTCCATTTTGACGTCTTATAATTTAAGTATATTTCAAGCTTTGCTTCATACTTAGTATAAGTAATTAATTTATACTTCCTTCATCTATCTACTCTTATAAATGTTTTGTGTTCCTCAAATCCTCTCCATTGCATACAAAAATTGATGCATTATAATATTTTCCTTAATATCTGGATGCATCTTAAATTTTCTGACAATAAATCCACGACATTTATCATAGGAATAATAAACTCATACATTTATCTTCACTGTCGAACTCCAAATGGCATATGTTATTCAATGTCAAGTCTATTCTTCATTTATAATCATTATGTGTGTGACTAGCTCATGTTTCAAGGGAGTATTGTTGAGCTTCGTGGGAATACTGGTCTTGTATCTTGATAAAATGCAAAGATATTGCAACAAGGCCTCATTTGTCATTAAGAAACTTTTACTTATAAAAAGCTATAGCTTAATAACAAAATAAAAACATCAAACCTTAACTTTTTGTTGTCACTGGGGAGAAGATCGGATGTTAAAAGGAAACGTAGAAATTTGTTTAGCAACAAAAAACAAAAAGGAGTGCAGTTTTCGAGTTACATGGAGGTAAATGTGTTATCATCAGACCATCCTATATACCCAGAGAGGAAGAGGAAGAGAAAGTTAGATAAAAATAGGAAACAAAAAGGGGAAAGTGAAAATGCAATTAGCCAGGGGCCATGGGCCACCGTTTAAGGGAGAAAGAAGAGAATGAACAACTTCCATTTTTCAATTCCCAAATGGCTTGAAGCATCTCTGGTAACTGGTATTGGTTCATCTATCTTCATCTGCCTTCTCAGTAATGGAAGACTAGAAGATGAAAGCTATTGTTTTGTTGCTGTATTCGTTTCCACTTCTGAAAAGGTGGAAGAGAGGCCATAAACCTTCAAATGGGACCGGGATCCTCTGGGAGTCATCTAGTTCACTTACACACTTTTCCAGAATCTGATTCTTTTTTTTTTTTTAAACAACTTTCGGCTGTTGCAGGGACGAAATTGCCTCACATGTCATGGATTTATACATAACTCTTTTGACAAAGAATGCTATCATAAAATTCGTTTGAAAAAAAATATTATTTTAATAATTCATTTTTTAAAAATATTAAAAAAATTCAAAAGCCCAAACTAAAGTGACATAGTTAACACTGTTAATTACCTAATTATTGGGTAAATCTAAACATTATCCTAATCATCAAATTTTGTACTAATAAATCAATGGCTTAAAGAATGTTGGATTCCTCGTGTAGTTGAAAATATGTTTACATTTCCAAAATCACGTTGTTGAATACTATCTTTAATTATTGTGCCAAATTATTAGTCTAAAGTCAAAATAAAATCTTTGCCGTAAAATTTACTGTTAAATAGACATGATAAATTATACAGATTTTATTGTATACCTTGAAATACAAATTAAAAAAATCGTAAATTATATAACTTTAAAATTAAAATAAAAAACTAACCTAAATTTTATTATAATATTTGTTTTTAACATAAATCAATCCCCCAAACCTTACTTTATAAAACAAAATTTGTAGTATAAAATTAAATTCATTCAAATTCAAGTTTATAAATCGTTACTCAGTCCTACAAATCAATTGATAAAAAGGGAGGACTCCAGAATTGCCAGTGGAAAACTGCAACAAAATAAGGTGAAATCGAAAACCCTATATTAAATTGAGAGACTTGTTAAATTTGCTGGAAATCATTCCATAAATTAATTATTGATTGATGACAACTCCTACCCGGGGATGTCTGTTGCATTAAAGAAAAACCACTACCCCTATGGGGGAAAAAAGGAAACATACAAAGGCTAACAAGTTCCCATAGCGCAGCAGCCATATCATATATCTATTATAATGCTTTTTCATCTTCTATCTATATGTACACTTTGGATTCTGAATTAATACAAAATAATAGCTGGTATAACTTCTATTTTTGGCTGGCATGAGAACGCTACCTAAAATCCTTAACACTCAACCTTCGACGCCATTTCTCTTCTTACAGACCCTCTATCAGGCAAACAAGGTAAATGTGTTCTGTATCTTCATCTGTTTTCATTCACATTTTCCAAAAACCTCCTCACGCACCTATTATTGATCTCAAAGATGAGCGAAATGCCTCTAATCTGCATAGAAGCCATTTAACACATTATTTTGCTTTCAAGGAAGGAACAAAATTGCAGCATTGTAATGTAAAAGTTATTTAAGAATAGAAAGGAAAGACAGGTACCTCGATCAGACTGCTAGCATTAAGACCCCGCACTTGTCCTGTAGCAACTTCTTTGCCATTTAAGAAGATAGACCTCTTGCCAAGATTTTTAATAACGAAAGAACCATTTGCTTGCATCCTTATTAAAGCCTATCAGATAATAAGTAATTCATAGTTCATAACACTACAAATTCAGCAGAGGAAATTTAAATGGATATAACTGAAAATCTCTACCATGAACAAATATTCTGGTCCTTGCTCTGTATTGTGCCCATGCATAGTGAAAATGATACAGATCCAGACATCATTATAACACTATTTATTTCAATTACCAAAAGATTCATAAGAACACCATCACATTCCAAATGGATGAACATCTTAAAAATTTGTCATTTGTCTTGCTCCAGAAATATACCAATCCTTTAATAGTTAGTTACTAGAAAAGACACATCTTTTTTTTTTTTTCAAACAATAACAAAGCCTTCCTAACTCCCCTTGCTCCTCAAAAAAGAAATATGTGAACTAAAAGAGGACCCTAAATCATTCTTAAAATCAAAACATGCATGGAATTTTGCACACAAGGCTTCTGATAAATCTTACTTGTCTTCTAGATATTTTGTTAGCATCTTGCCCTTCTTTTCTCAAGTCAATATCAACATGTACATCATCTGTTGCTCTGCCAAGTATAACCTGTGAAATAGAAAGAGAATGTAGCGAAATCGTTTATATTTTATACCATGCATAAACATCACAAATTTATAGAACAGCACCAATTAGGCAAACACCAAAATCTGAATTTTATATTCAGTGTTAAGGCACACTCAAAGGACGTCGTCATTCATTGTATTACAGTTCAAGCTAATAAAGGCCAATAATTTATCAGAGATCCAGATGCAACCACAGAATCTGTTGATTTAGAAAAAAATTGAAATTAAAACCAAGGTAGTTATAAAGGGAATGAACAACTAAAATGAGATCCTCAATGAACATTGAAACTCCTAGAAAGAAATATTAAAATCCTCAAGTCACAAGACCACTTAAAGCTAGTCTGTTCAATTTTTTTTCCCCAATTACCAGAGCTATGCATTGATGATATTGCAACGATAACCAAACCTTATTATGCAAAACAACAAATCATAGTGTGGAAATCACAAAGGCATGCAAACATTTCTTTGCAAGGAAAATTCACAAGATTCATTATGGTGGCATTGGAGGAAGACAATATAAAGAAGAATTCATTCTTATATATTTTAAAGGGAAACAAGGTCCAAATTCATAAATATACCTCGCTTTTTTTAATATACTTCTTCAGAATGCGCCCATACAATACTGCAAATGCACCCTGAGATTTAATGGCTCTTCCCATAAAGGACTGAGCACCTTGCTCCAATCTCATGATAGTCCTCTTAGTTTCTTCATGTTGATATCTCAAGACTGTAATAAAAGACTATAATATTAGAAGACAAACAACCACAGCTATTGGTATTTGAAACTTTAGTGGAGACCAACCAGTATATCATTAATACAAGAAATACTTATTCAAGTATAGCCAAACTCATGAACAAGAACGAATTCCTGGCTTCCTTTTTAAATTGAAAACCTTAAACAGAAGTGTGACAATTTTATTTTATTGTCAGATGATTTACCTTCTCTACTTGCATTTGTATCTTGATCAGTTGGACATAAATCCATTTCAAGAATCTGAGCATGCAACATCAAATATGTGAGAGTCAGAGAAAACCTAACACCACTAACTATAGAGAATTATTACCATTCAGTGCAACATATAATACTTACCATTGCCTCAGCATCAGAAAAGTCAGGAATTTCATCATCGTCATCATCATCATCAACATCACCTTCTTCCTGATCGAGAGAGAATGATTTTGCTTCTGATTTAGGTAAAACCTTATGTTCCTCAACCTTTGTATGTGCATAAACTTCAGCAGAAGTCAGAGCAACAATTTCCTGTTTATAACATACAACTTCAATGAAATTTTCTTAATAAAAGTAAAATCCTAAGTTAGTTCCCCAAAAAGTTTTCCAATTATGAAGTATCCTGGAATCGACACATTTAACCTCTTGTTTTAGATGTCTATCTGAGGCAGGCATCACAGTTGCACTAACTAATCTGCTATGACTTGGGTTGATGTTGACATTGACATTGTTACTCTGTCTAGAAACTGCAGAAATAGAGTTTCTTCCAGGATTTTCAGATTTAGGTACAAGATCAACAGGTGGGTAGCTTGAATTTATATTAGACAGTAACCCCTGTCGAACTGTCTGTGAAGCTGCAAAAGAGTGAGAAAGAACGTCTTCTTTATTCAAGCTTCCAACCAGTTCATTTCTTCGTTGATTATTCATAACCGATTCTGAATAACCCACCTCTTTAACAATTGGTCGGGATTTCAGGGCAACTGAATGAGGAACTAAAATGGATAAAGTTATATGGTCATTGCATGGGACCACAGGGTCCTCAGTATTCAATACGCAGAACATATTGTCCTCACGAAGTTCCGGGTGAGAACTTTGTGCTGCCACAGACGATCCAACATCATTTCCAGAATCAGAAACAAAATGTTGATCACCACGACTGCTGCCTAACGAGCTAGCAACACCCTCCAACACGGTGGAAGATGACCCAGAACGCACAGCAAATTTAGTTTCCGCATCCAACTTCTGTGGCTCACAAACACCAGCAACATGATTACCCTGAACATCACAAGGAGAACTTAACAACAGCGAATCAACATTATCATAACACGGCTTATCCGCAGCTGTCGCATCTTTCCCATCTATATCCACATAAATAAGTTCATCCCCAGTCAAGTCCAAGAGAGAATCAGAAATACGCACAGCATCGTCTCCCAACACAGCATCAGGAGCATTCACCCCACCATTCTCACACTTACCTTCCAAACTCAAACCATGGGAAACTATTTCTCTCCCTTCAGAACAACGATTTTCACTTTCAAGCACATTAACTTGAACAGGCATATCAGGCACAGAAACATCCTCTATAGTTTTCCACAAAGGAACATCACTTATCGAATTAGATTGCCCTACTCCTACTCCCTCTAACCCCGAGTAATCCCCATAATTAACTAAATTATTCACATCATCATTTAAATTACCATCAACCACCACACTTCCATTTCCGTCACACACCACCGCGTTCTTTTCAACATTCACGCCCTCCCTGCACCTGCCATGCCTTTTCCGCATCGCGTAGTACTGCTTCCGAATGCTTTGAACTTTCCTCTTTCTACCTTCTCCCGAACCCTCCTTGCTTCCGCTTCCGCTTCCGCTCAACTTGGCGAGCTCCAAAATCGCCATGGAAGCGGAAGCGGTAACAGAAACGTCAGCGTCGTAGAGCAGAGAGCGCCACCGATCTCGCAATTCCGTAACGGAATAGCGTCGTGAGAACCGAACCGCTCCTTTGGCCAGCGATTCCAACGAAGCACCGGCCTATACAAAACATTCAAGTACGACGTTTCATTAATTAAGCTTGTTTTAGAAAATAATTATTTAATTTTGCCAATTCCGTATTTAATCTATCTTATTACGAAGAAATAATCATTAATTTCCTGAGTTAATGTTTCGGAAACATGCACGAAGCAGAAATTGAACAGGGGAGAAGAGGTTAGGGTTCATGAGAATTGTGTGTGTGTGTGTGTGAGAGAGAGAGAGAGAGAGAAGAGAGAGAGAGAGGAATACCTCGACGGCGTTCTTCAAGAGAAGGTCGTCTTCGGGAACCCATGGAGGGAGGACCTCCACAGGGTCCATGGTTTGGAATTGAGAGGGAGGGAGGGAGAGAGAGAGAGAGAGAAGCGAAGTGGGGAGAGTAGTTAAAGTGAGTGAGTGAGAGAGAGAGAGAGAGAAGGGGAAGAGCGCGGGTAAGGGGGCAACGTGTGTGTGTGTTTGTGGGTTCGCACTTCACAACCTCGTGACCATCGTCCCCATTGTTACGACATATTCGCACAAATGATTCCCTCCTCCCGCTGCTGCCGCAGTACCATCACAATTATTCAAAGCTTTTTTTTTTAATGCTCAAGATTATTCTCTCTCTCTCTCTCTCTCTCTCTCTCTCTCACTCCTCAGATTTTTAAGTATTTGACTTATTTGGCTATTGGCCTAAAAAGGCAAAACATATTGCTTCCTTTTCTTTCAGTTGCTCAATTCAGTATTTATTCTCCTCAAACACCGTTGGGACATGCAATTTTCTTCTTTTTTTTTTCTTTTCAATTTAAATGCTTATTGTAACATATTGATGCATAAGATGCAGCTTACCAATAATCTCACATTTCGAAGTTGACAGCTTAGAAGACCTCCTAAAGCAAAACAATATAATTTCATCGGACAAAATATATATTATACTTTAATTTTACAAAGTAAATATATTATTATAATAGCATCATCAAATATTATAAAAAAATATATTCGTTATCATTAAAAAATTATTTCACCTTTAAAAAATTAATATAATTTATTAATATATTTGATTACATTTTAGTCAAATTTGTTTCTCCATTTAATCCTTTTATAATAAGTAAATAATTAATTTACCAAAAATGATAGAAAAAATATTTTATATATCATAAATTTATAGTATATTTTAAAAATATTTATAATAATAAATGGTCAAATTAGTAACTAACACATTAAATAAATGAATATATAATAAATGAATGTTTTATTAATACAAATCTTATAATAAATAAAAAAATAAAAAAAATCAAAGTATCTAAAATAAATAGTTATTTTTTATAATTTCAACTAAAAATATTAGTATTTTTTTTATTAAAAAAAAAACAGAACCAAAAGAAGTAATATATAAGGTCATGATCTGATAATACTAAATATTATGATGTCTATCAACCGTGGTTTAAATATTGTTATTAAATAAATTAAACTTACAAAAATTTATATTAAATAAAAAATTTAAAATAATTTATCACATTACTTTATTATAATCTCTGATATATTATTTAAATATAAATAAATTTAAACTATTAAATAATATTTATAAATATTTAAATTATGCATAATTGAATATAATATTATGTCACTGTTAAATATCAACAACTCATATATAAAATATTTTATTTTTTAATTAATATGTTTCCTTTAGTCTTATTTATTTTTTCACAAAGAAAAAAATATTTTTATTATATATTATTCATTGTTATTTTTTATTAACATCGTTTTACTTATATAAAATTTTAAATACAATAAATAAAATATTGATACTATTTGAGTTATTCAACCGTCAAAAATTATAATGCAATGCAATAAATAAAAGATAAATCAGCAAATTTAATGAATAAATTTTAAAAATTATTAAATTTATTGATCCATATAATTATTTCCATAGATTAAAAAAATAGTATATATTTAAAAATATGATTAAGTTCATTAAGAAAAATATACTATATTATAACAATTTCATTCTTTTTTAATTCATAAAAAATATAAATAAGCATCTGATTTTAATACCTGGCAAAAAAGACTAAATCATATATATATATATATATATATATATATATATATATTATAAAAAAATATTTTTAGAATTAATTATTTAATTAAACTTACACTATTTTATTTTTCCTTTTCAAATAAGATATTTTATGACGTTTATAATTACTTTCAAGGAAACATTTTTAAACATGAATTATAACTATTAACTTGAATAAGTTTGTTCATATCGTAAATTATAATTTAATTTAATCATTACTTTGTTTCCCTAAAAATTTTAAAATAAAAATATTATCAATTATGAATGTATGTATGTATACAATTGAAATAATTATCTTTTCGTTTTAAAAAATTAATGCTTATTTATCGATACAATTAATTACCTTAGATCCAAATTTTTCAAATAACAAACATTATATATTTCCTATCAAATTTGATATATATTTAATTATAACATTAATTGGTTTCAAGGAAATGTTATCATATATAGAACTCTTTAAGTTTTTCCTTTCAAAATTAATATATATTTAATTATAATGATAAATGCTTTAAAGTCAATTTTATTATACTAAAATTATAACTATCGTAAACTGAATAAATTTATTCTTATCCGCATTTATACTTTTGATTTTTTGAAATCATGATTTCATTTTCATTAAAATTTATATAAAATAATATTAATAATTTTTTTCAAGCTAATTACAGCAGGGTGAAAAAGAGAAGAGATTATAGATCTACTTTTGCTAATTTTTTTATTTTAAAGTTTAGTAGAATTAACTATAAACTTTTAAAAATAATTTTGATATGTAAAAATTAGTCAAATGAAATAAAATAAAATTTTACTTGCGTAAGAGTTATTTGAAATTGACACATTTTCTCCTAAAATATAGTTTAAAACATGCTCGAAAGTTAAACTAATTTCAATTTTAAAGATTAACATCTAAGTTAAATAAAGTTAATCAACTAAAAAATTTAGTTTTTTTTTATATACATTAAATGGGGTCAAAGGACCCAACAAAAAGAAATTAAGCTACAGATCTAGGATGCCACACACCATTAGCATCTAGCAACAAAAAAGGAAGGAGGAAATTAGGAGAAACAGTGAAAACAGTATAGGGAGACAATTCTTCTAAATCTAATTTGACTAACATGTCAGCACACATATTAGTCTCTCTACATATGTACATAATCCTTATAAAACAAACAGATTTAAGTTTGTCCCGAATTCTATTAATAATATGTCACTGGGGATGGGATGATTGTTGCAAGTTGAGAATGAGACCAATAGCTTCCTTGGAGTCATTCTCTATCCAAATTGTGTGAATGTGAAATTGAATAACTAGTTGGATCCCTAAGAGAATGCCCCAAAGCTCAGCAAGGAGTAATGTTGTTGTAAAAACAAACAATCAACTGCCCCCGATCATCACGAATGAGGTCACCACAAGCAGAGCAAGCAAATCCAAACTTGGCCGCCACTTCGCAACATTCAAGTTGAACTGTTCTACTAGAGGAGGACACTATTTAAAGCACCTGGGATCAGAAGCCAGCTTAGGAATGGTTCTGGAATTGAACCTGCAACAATATATAAGGTAATTAGTCTCATACATAGCCCTATAAACAATGGCCTTAGGCCGAAAAGAATGATTCATGAAAATAAAAGTATTTCTATTAGTCCAGAGGAACCAAACAACATAACCAAATAAATAGTTCCAGTTTTAAAAATAGCTTGGGGAAGAGTTGGATAGATTAAGCCTTAACCACTCAGACAAACCCAAACTAAAAATTGACATCCATTGACTAGGGAAAATTAAATAATCCTAAACATCTCTAGCAAAAACACAGTCCATCAACACATGCATAACAAACTCGGAAGTCTTATCACACCTAGGACAAGTAGAAGAGTTAGACATATTCCATTTAAACCTTTCCTCATTAGTGAGAAGCCTTCCATGACTAATTTTCCAAAGAAAAAAGGCAATTTTAGAGGGACCTTTCTAGCTCCAAACTAGATTAAAGATATTATTACTTGTGGAAGGAATACTAGAAGGAGCAGAGAGCAAAATCTAAGTAGAATTAATGAAAAATATACCATTATTGGTTAGAGACCAGAATATTGTATCAAATCCACTAGATATGATTGGAGGACTAACCAGTATCCAGGACTATAGAATTACATATACTTTCAGGAAGAGCATTACAAATTTTGGGGTCAATCCTAGTGTCCATCAACAAAGAACAAGGTCACAAGGACAGTCAAATCTAAATCAGAGACATGATATTTAGAGTAATTTACCAGATTTCTAACCTTAGGTATCTAGTCATTAGTCCAAAATTTAATAGACCAACCATTCTTAACTGACCAAGCAAGACCGTGAGAAAATTTGGGCCAAATAGATGTTATACTTTTCCAGAGACAGGAGGCATGTTAACTAGACTTAAAACTAGGAGTTTGGCCCAGGATAAATCTGTATTTATGTTTAATAATTTGACCCCAAAGATTAGAAGGAGATGTGACTAATCTCTAACAAAGTTTTATTAGAAAAGTCTTATTAAGTAGCTCTAAGTCTTTAAAGCCCATACCCCCCTCATTTTTAGGTTTGCAAATCTTCTACCAGCTAATCAAATTACATTTTTTCTCCACTTAGGGAACCCCAAATAAAATTCCTACAAATACTGTTGATTTCATTACAGACAAAAGGAGGAATCAAAGTAGTTTACATGACATAAGATGGAATACTCATAAGACTGGAGTGAGCCAAAGTTACCCTGCCAGCGAAGGAAAGAGAATTCATTTTCCACAAGGAGAGTTTTTTTTCCTAATTTTATCTATGAGAAAAGAAAAATGCCTGCTAGTAAGTTTAGTGTGTAGGATGGGAACACCTAAATAGCTGTCAATCTGATTGAAAATATTAAAACTCAAGCACTCAGAAATGGACTGCACTAAGGAAAGGTCATAATTCTTTGAGAAAAATAAAGAAGATTTATTGGTAATAATTTTTAAACCTGAAGCAGCACAAAACCCCTCAAGGACATCTCTAATAATCCTAGCCTGGTTAACATCAGTTTTTGAAACTAAAATGAGGTCATCGGCATAAAAAAAGGTGAGAAATAATGAGACTTTAGGTACCAAACCTGAAAGGGAACCAGTCTCTACTCAAAACCCTATCTTGAATCATATAAGCTAATCTCTCTATACAAAGAACAAAAATGTAAGGAGATAAGGAGTCCCCCTACCTAATGCCCCTAGAGGGTTTAAAGAATTTAGTTTTAAAAACTAAAAATAATTTAAAAAATATTTTAATGAAAACTTAAATATTAATTTGATTTAGAAAATGATTAAGTTTTTAAGGATGTAAAAAATATTAAGTAGTTATTAGACTTAATAAAATAAAAAGAAATGACAATAGATTACAAAACAAAAGTATTTCCTTCATAGTTTATTATTATTATTTTTACTGATAAAGAAGGCTAAGTTTAAAACAAACAAATTTGATTAGGAATCTATGGATTCAAATACTTAAGAAATCCAATATTAATAAAGGCACTAAGGAAGGAGGTGACTCATCAAAACAAAGAAAGGGTA